ATCTGTGTTCTCCCTCCAGATTCTCCAGCCCAGAGCTGGAGAATCGGAGGGACCGCAAACTAAGCAGAGATAATTTACCTCTGCTTAGTAAACTGATCTTTTACTGTAATCTCGCGAGATTATAGTAAAATCAGCCGTTTTCCAGAGTTTGGAGACCGTTCTCCAGCGTTTGGAGACCGTTCTCCCTTCGTTTGGAGAACTGCTTCATAAACTGCATTCACAGGAGAACTGTGTTCTCCGAGAATGCCGGAGAACTGAGCAGCGATCTATTACCGCTGGTTCATAAATGGACACCTATATCAGCAGACAGGAAGTACGGGGAAAATTTCTAACAGCAACACAAACAGGAGTAAAAAATAAAAAGTTTAATTTTAAAATAGAGTAGGCGGAGGCTAGAACCCCTGTTGGCTTTTTATTGCTGTTTGTGTCCCTGTTTATTAGTTCCCCTAACTTCCTGTCTGGGGCATTTATATAGGGTTTGGGGAGTGTGGGGTTGACTTACTAAAACTGGAGGGTGCAAGATCTGGTGCAGCTTCCTTTTTTTATTGTCAAAGTCTAATTGAAAAAGCTGAAGTGAGAAGCTGATTGGCCGGTGTGCACAGTTGCACCAGATTTTACACTCTCCAGTTTTAGTAAATCTCCCCCATTGGGACCAAATATTTTTCTTGACTTTGAGATTTACTAAAACTGGTGCACACAGAATCGGGTGCAGCTCTGCCTAGAAAAACCAATCAGCTTTCCAGTTTCATTGCCGAAATTAATTGAACGAGCTGAAGTTGGAAGCTGATTGGTTATTATGCAGAGCTGCACCCGATTCTGTGTGCACCAGTTTTAGTAAATCTCCCCCTCAGTGTAATATACATACATCCACATATTGCTTCCATTATATGTTTTTTTTTTTCCCTACATGGGCAGCACAGTGGCTAAGTGGATAGCACTTCCGCCTGGCAGTACTCGGGTTGTCGGTTTGTATCCCAACCACAGCACCACCTGCCTGGAGTTTGCATGTTCTCCCTGTGCCTGCGTAGGCTTCCTCCGGGTACTCGGTTTCCTGCCCACTCTCCAAAGACATGTGGTAGGTTAATGGGCCCTAGTATGGGGATGTTAGTTAGAATCCCAACCCCGGCACCACCTGCCTGGAGTTTGCATGTTCTCCCTGTGCCTGCGTGGGTTTCCTGCGGGTACTCGGTTTCCTGCCACACTCTAAAGACATGCTGGTAGGTTAATGGGCCCTAGTATGGGGACGTTGGTTAGAATGCCAAACACTGTACCACCTGCCTGGAGTTTGCATGTTCTCCCTGTGCCTGCGTAGGCTTCCTCCGGGTACTCGGTTTCCTCCCATGCTCCAAAGACATGCTGGTAGGTTAATGGGCCCTAGTATAGGGCCATTGATTTGAATCGAAACTCCGGCACCACCTGCCTGGAGTCTGCATGTTCTGCCTGTGCCTGTGTGGGTTTCCTGTGGGTACTCTAGTATGGGGTCGTTGGTTTGAATCCCAGCCCCGGCACCACCTGCCTGGAGTCTGCATGTTCTGCCTGTGCCTGCGTGGGTTTCCTCCAGGTACTCTGGTTTCTCCCATGCTCCAAAGACATGCTGGTAGGTTAATGGGCTAGTATGGGGACGTTGGTTAGAATCCCAACCATGGTACCACCTGCCTGGAGTCTGCATGTTCTGTGTGTGCCTGTGTGGGTTTCCTCTGGGTACTCTAGTATGGGGTTGTTGGTTTTGAATCCCAACCCCGGCACCACCTGGCCTGGAGTCTGCATGTTCTGCGTGTGCCTGTGTGGGTTTCCTCTGGGTACTCTAGTATGGGGCCGTTGGTCTTATCTAAATTGGCCCCCTAGTATGTGTATGTATGAATGTGAGTTAGGGACAGGGGCGGACTGATATGGGGCCCCCGGGCAATTTGGGTTCATGGGGCCCCTGTGTCCTTGCCCACACTCAAAACACACCCAAAAAAGCCTATAAAAGGTACCAGGGGCAGGGGCCCCCTACTGACCCCGGGCCCTCGAGCAGCTGCCTGAGTGCTCAAATGGTCAGTCCGCCCCTGGTTAGGGACCTTAGATTGTACGCTCCTCGGGGGCGGGGACTGATGCGAAATGCACCATATCTATGTTAAAGCTAGTAAAGAAAAGTAAAGATAATTGTATTTTATACCTAGATATAAGTATATATATTATTTTATTATTTTTTTAATAATTTTTTTTTTTTTTTTTCTTTGGATTGTCATTTGAAATAGTGAATTTGTAATTATTTATACACAGGAGCGCGGCACAATTTATATATTTAAATATCTATGTAAAGCGGCGTAAACCGACGGCGACGCAAAGCGCCTGAAATAAATAAATAATAAATACAAGACCGGTACATACGCCAGATTTTTTTCCTAACTTGTGTCATTTTCTGTCGCAGGTCTGGTTCAAGAACCGCCGGGCCAAGTGGCGTAGACAAAAAGCGCTCTTCCTCCGAGGAGTCAGAAAATGGACAAAAATGGAATAAAGCCTCCAAACCCTCCACCGACAAGGCAGAGGAACAGGGCAAAAGTGACCTGGACTCAGACAGTTGACCCCCCGGGTGGTACTGGGGGCGGAGGTCCTTGGACTCGGCGCAGGAGGAGGAAGCGCCCTTGCACACTCTTTTTTTTTTTTTTTTTTTGGTGGGATCTGTACATAGGGCTGTAAATTTACGTGTACATATTACCTGTGTGTTGCAGACATATTGCACAGATATACACTGTACTGAATGTGCTATTTATACCTTAAGTTAAAGGAATCACAACAATAAAACCATGGTGGCTCCACCATTTCTCTGTACGCCTCTGTCTTCCAGTCTTTTGTACAAGGACAGAAAAGGTTCAGGAAGGTAAGTGCTTTCTGCATGGTGCATGTGGTGGCGGGGTGTTCCTGAGACCCCCTGGGGGGGGGGGGGGGGGAGGGTGTTGGTGAGAAAGGGGGACTTAGGACTTGCTGGATATAACTTATAAAAGGTTTGAACATTCATTGGTTCCTCCAACTTGTGACCACTTCAAAAAAATCCAATCGGCTTATTGCAAATTCAGAAGTAAGGGGTCACTCTGACGGGGACACCTGATGCATGGGGGCACTCTGATTGGGACACCTGAATGTAAGGGGCACTCTCGTATTTAAATCCATTAAGCTGTGTGCCAGATATGGGGGGGGGGGGGCTTCGGGCAACGCCCCCTATATCTGGATGCTGCAGCTAAAAGACCACATCCATGGCCATATCGTAAGAAAGTGTTTCTTAAAATATATTTGTCTAAACAGCTGCCAAAAAAAATACCTAAAACCTCATTGCAAATTTCAGGTAAAAGACAAGCAGGGGCGGACTGACCATTTGGAAACTGGGGCACCGCCCGAGGGCCCGGGGTCAGTAGGGGGCCCCATGAGATGCCCCTGGTACCTTTTTCATAGGCTTTTTTGAGTTTGGGTAAGGACACAGGGGCCCCATGATCCCCTATTGCCCGGGGGCCCCCCATGAGTTGTCAGTCCGCCCCTGAAGACAAGTTTCTAGTCCAGTCCAGTGTGCCAAACCAGCCCCCCAAAATCTGAAATTTTCCTGTGCAAGCTGGCCCCCTAGCTGCTGAAGTGCTACTAGTCCCAGCATGCCCTTAAAGGACACAGTGGGGTGTTTAGCACTTTTGGCATTTCTAACATTTATCTCTACCTGCCAACTGCTAGTCAGCTGCCTTGCCCAAAAAAAAAAAACAACTTTTCAATGAGTTTTTATTTTTTTTTTCCCCATAGTGCTGGAACTACAAGTACTGGCTTGCCCTAAAAGATGTCAACTGAGGGGGATGCTGGGATTTGAAATCGCAGCGCGTTTAAAGTTATGTTATGAAATGTTAACACTTTGGTTTGGGGAATTTGATATATATTATCATCATTATTATTATTATTATTATTATTATTAATAAACAGGAATTATGTAGTGCCAACAGTTTGCTCAGCGCTTTAGAATATTATATATATATATATATATACATTTATATATATATATATATATATATATATATATATATATATATATAATTATATATATATATGTATATATAAAATTATTATTATTATTGTTAAACAGGATTTATATACCACCAACAGTTTGCTCAGAGCTTTACAATATTATATAATATATATATATATATATATATATTTATTTATTTAAAAACAAAATATATATATATATACATATATATATTAAACAGGATTTGATTTATATAGCACCGACAGTTTGCTCTGCGCTTTACAATATTATATATTTAAAAAAAAAAATAAAATTTATATATATATATATATATATATATATATATATATATATATATACAGATATAGATAAAAAAAGAAAAAAATATTATAAAAAAAAAAAAAAATTAAAAAAAAAAAATAAAAATAAAAAAAATAAATAAAAAAAAAAATTTACAATATTATATAATATATATATAAAAAAAAATAATCTCACTTCTGCTCTTCTGCTGCAGATTTATAAAATAAATATAAACAATTTCCAGCCTGGCCCGTTAGTCCCCCCCCACACGGTCATTTAGGTTGTGTGACTTTGTATAAATAAACTAAAAAAATAAAAATTGAAGTTGTCACAAATTTATTTTTATTCTGCGAGATTTGTAGGCTCAATACATTCCTGAGGTCTTGATGTGGCAGACCTGTCAAATGTGGCGGTGCTAATTAATCGATCTCCCATCCAAAAGTGTGCCAGAAAAAAAAATTAACTTCCATGAATTTAGTTTGGGGGCATATCTGGGAATATAAAATGTATTTAAAAACAATTCAAAAAAAATGGAAAATCATCAGTAAAAAAAAAAAAAATTTTGGAGCCTTGGCCCGGCTGATACAGTCTATAATAAAAATGGACAGATTAAAAGCTCTTCCTAAAAAAAAATCCATCAATATCCATCCAAATCTATATCTATCTATTATCTATAAAAAATCTATCTAAAAATCTATCTATCTAAAATCTATTATCTATCTATCTATTATCTAATCTATCTATCTATCTATTAAAATCTATATATCTATCTATTAAAAATCTATCTAACTAAAATCTATCTAAAAATCTATCTATCTATCTATCTAAAAATTTCAAAAATTATCTATCTATCTATCTATATCTAAAAATCTATTTAATAATCTATCTAAATATCTAAAAATCTAATATCTAAAAATCTATCTAAATAATCTATCTATCTATCTATCTATCTATCTAATCTATTATCTAAATAAATATCTATCTATCTATCTATCTATCTATCTAAAAAAAAAAAAATAATTATCTATCTATCTATCTATCTATCTATTATCTAAAAAAATCTAAAAAAATTAAAAATCTATCTATTATCTAAAAATCTATCTATCTATCTAATATCTATCTATCTAAAATCTATCTAAAAATCTATTATCTATCTAAAAAATCTATCTATCTATTATCTAAATATCTATCTATCTATCAATCTATCTATATTTAAAATATTATCTATCTATCTATCTAAAAATCTATTAATCTATCTATCTATTAAACAAAAAAAAATATCTAAAAAATTATCTATCTAAAATAAAATCTATTAAAAAAATCTATTATCTATCTATCTATCTATCTATTATCTAAAAAATCTATCTATTATCTAAAAAAATCTATCTATCTATCTATTATCTATCTATCTATTATCTAAATCTATTTAAATCTAAAATATCTAAAAAAAAAAAAATAAATTAAAAATCTATCTATCTATCTATCTATCTATCTATCTATTATCAAATCTATCTATCTATCTATTATCTATTAATCTATCTATCTATCTATTATCTAAAAAATTAAATCTATCTATCTATCTAAAAATCTATTAAATAATCTATCTATCTATCTAATCTATCTATCTATCTATCTAAATCTATCTATCTATCTATCTATCTATTAAAAATCTATCTATCTATTCTAATCTATCTATCTATCTATCTAAAAATATTAATCTATCTATTATCTATCTATCTATCTATCTAACTATCTATCTAACTAAAAATAATATCTAAAAATAAAAAAAAAATCTAATAAAAATCTATCTATCTATCTATCTATTATCTAAAAAAATTCTATCTAAAATCTATCTAAAGAATCATCTAAAAATCTATCTATTATCTATCTAAAAATCTCAAAAATCTATTTTATCATCTATTATCTATCTAATTATATATCTATCTAAAATCTAAAAAAAATCAAAAAAATATCTATCTAAATCTAATTATCTATCTATTATCTATCTATCTATCTAAAAATCTAAAAAAATCTATCTATCTATCTATCTATTATCTATCTATCTAAAATAATCTATCTATCTATTATCTATCTATCTATTATCTATCTATATCATCTATCTAAATCTAAAAATCTATCTATCTATCTATCATCTATCTAAAAAATCTATCTATCTATCTATCTATAAATATCTAAAAATCTATTATCTAAATCTAAATCTATCTAAAAAATCTAAAAAATCTATCTATCTATCTAAAAAATAATCTATGTAAAAAAATCTATATAAATCTAAAAAAATCTAATCTATTATCTATCTAAAAATCTATAAAAATCTATCTATTATCTATCTATCTAATTAATCTATCTATCTATCTAAAAAAAATCTAAAATCTATTAAAAAAAAAGAAAAAATCTAATCTATCTATCTATTAAATCTATTAAAAAAATCTATTCTATCTATTAAATCTATCTAAAATCTATATCTATCTAAAAAAAAAAATATCTAAAAATTATTATCTATAAAATCTATCTATAAAATATTCTAAAAATCTATCCGTAAAAATTATCTAATATTATCTATCTAAAAAATCTAATCTAAAAATCTATTAATATCTATCTATTATCTATCTATCTATCTATCTATCTATTATCTATCTATCTATCTATCTATCTAATATTAAAATCTATTAAAGAAAATAAAAAATCTATCTAAATATCTATAGTATCTATCTAAAAAAAAATAATATCTAAAAATCTATTATCTATCTATCTATTATATTATCTATCTATCTAAAAAAAAATCTATCATATATCTATCTAAATATCTATCTATTATCTATCTAAAAATTAAAAAAAAAAAAAAATCTAAAAATTAAAAAAAAAATTATCTATTAAAATCTAAAATCTATCTATCTATCTATTATAATTATCTATCTATCTAAAAAAAATTAAAAATCTATCTATCTATCTATACAAAAAATAAATCTATCTATTCTATCTATCATCTAAAAAATCTATCTATTAAAAATCTAAAATCATCTATCTAAAAAAAAAAATCTATTATCTATCTAAAAATTATCTATCTATCTATCTGATCTAAAAATCAATAAAAAAAAATTATAAATAAAATCTATCTAAAAATTAAAAAAAAAAATTATCTAAAAAATCTAAAAAAAATCTAAAATCTAAAAAAAATCTATATCTATCTAATCTATTAT